GGAGGGGCAGAGAGAGGGAGACAGAGGATCCGAAGATGGCTCTGCAATGACAGCAGAGAGCTCTATGTGGGGCTGACGCTCACAAACCATGAGACCATGACCTGAGCTGAAGTCGGACACTCAGGGGCCCCCACAATGCAATACTCTCAACTTTCTTGAGGGGGACTGGGATGAGACACTCTCCCCTTTCACATGTCAGGTCCATGACTGCCAACCTTCTCCAGTGCTCCCACACCTCTCTACCCCATCTCATCCCAAAGCGCTCGATAGATTCTTCTTCTTTTTTTAATGTTTATTTTTGAGAGAAAGAGGGAGACAGAGTGTGAGTGGGGGAGGGACAGAGAGAGAGGGGGACACAGAATTTGAAGCAGGCTCCAGCTCTGAGCTGTAAGCACAGAGCCTGATGTGGGGCGCAAACTCATGAACCATGAGATCATGACCTGAGCCAAAGTCGGATGCTCAACTGATTGAGCCACCCAGGTGCCCCTTGATAGATTCTTCTTCTTAAGAGAATGTTCTACTACTCCTGCAAATGCTTATGAGGTAGATCTGAAGTCTTACATATATTTGAATATCCCATATTAAATATACAGTTTTCAAATAGGGTAGAGCTGAGATATTCGAATGTTTTCTCCTGTTCCTTCCCAGACTCTGTTCCAGCCTCAGACAGGTGCCTATCAGACGCTGGCCAAAGAGTGTGTGGCCCAAGGCTGCTGTGTAGACCTCTTCCTCTTCCCTAACCAGTATGTGGATGTGGCCACGCTCTCTGTTGTACCCCAGCTCACTGGTGGCTCTGTCTACAAATATGCTTGCTTTCAGGTAGGGCATGGGACTCTGGGTGGCAGGTGGAAGCCGGACAGACAATGTCTGCCTACGTGTGGAGCAGCTCTTTAACTGCTGACTCATTAATAGGAATACTGTTGGAGGAAAAGACCCCATAATGTAAAGAAGAGAGTAACAAGGGTAGTGGTTAGGAGCATGGGGTTGGAATCAGTCTTCAGCTGTTATTCTGGCCCTCCCAGAATACTCACTATATAACCTAGGAGAAATTATTTATTTTTTCTTTGTTTCTTCATCTGTGAAATGGGATTTCTACCCAACCCCCCATTTTTCTGAGCGATAGAGAGGCAAATGGAGAGGGAGAGAGAGAATCCCAAGCAGGTTCCATGTCCGGCGTGGAGCCTGATGCAGGGCTCAATCCCATGACCGTGAGGTCACACCCAAGCCAAAATCAAGAGTCGAGCCCTCAACCGACTGAGCCACCCAGGTGCCCCTATAAAATGGGATTTTAATACTTAAGATTTATTATCAGGAATAAGTAGTTATATGTAAAATACTTAATGTAGTACTGGGCTTGTAGCAAATGCTTAAAAGCTATCATTATTATCATCGTCACTGTTCCTATGATTCAGCAGCTTGTAGAGTGGAGGGGATGCAGGGAGATAATCTGCAGGGTGTTATGTAGTCAGTGATGTGACTCTGGGCCTGGGGGGCTGCAGGTGGAGAATGACCAGGAACGGTTCCTGAGTGACCTGCGTCGGGACGTACAGAAGGTTGTTGGCTTTGATGCTGTGATGCGTGTTCGGACAAGCACTGGTCAGTCCTGGTTGGAGAAGAGCAGGTTGGGGGCTAAATCTGGAAGGGAGGCAAGTGGCACCTGTCGTATTTGTAGCCCTGACTCTATCCATGTGGCTTCAGGTATCCGTGCTGTAGATTTCTTTGGGGCTTTCTACATGAGCAACACAACAGATGTGGAGCTGGCTGGGCTGGACGGGGACAAGACGGTGACTGTGGAGTTCAAGCATGATGATCGGCTCAATGAAGAGAGCGGAGCCCTCCTGCAGGTAGCAGGCAGGAGGCAGGGGTTGGGGAGGAACTGTCAAGTTCATTGTACTGGATATAAATAGGCTGCAGGGAAGAGGATAAGAGGTGGGTGGAGAGGACTAGAAGAGGCTGGGGAAGGGATGGCTCATGTCTTTCCTCTATCTTACTAATCTAGCAAAGGAGCAGTTTTTCAGAGGGCTTTGGTGAGGGAAGGGTATGAATTCTCCCTTTCTCCCTTCCCCTAGTGTGCTCTGCTCTACACCAGCTGTGCAGGGCAGCGACGGCTCCGCATCCACAACCTGGCCCTGAACTGCTGCACCCAGCTGGCTGATCTGTATCGAAACTGTGAGACTGACACACTCATCAACTACATGGCCAAGTTTGGTGAGGGTAGAGGCAGGGCGAGGGGGGATTGGGGTTGAGAGAAAGGTGGTTGTTGGTGATTCAGCATTCCCGGGTAGGTGTGATGGTGGGAAAGCACATGTGATGGGGTGGCTAGCCAGTGACTGTGCTGTCTCCCTTTCACATCCAGCATACCGGGGGGTCCTAAATAGCCCTGTGAAGACTGTTCGTGACACTCTCATCACTCAGTGTGCCCAGATCCTGGCCTGTTACAGAAAGAATTGTGCCAGCCCCTCCTCTGCAGGACAGGTGGGACAAGCATGTTGGAGGAATTGTTAGGACAAATTTTTGCATTTGGGAGAGACTTCTCATGATTATTAACTTTACTTTGATAATCCCTGCAGTTGATCCTTCCTGAGTGCATGAAGCTACTCCCAGTTTACCTGAACTGTGTGTTGAAGAGTGATGTCCTGCAGCCTGGAGCTGAAGTCACTACTGATGACCGTGCCTACGTCCGACAGCTGGTTACCTCCATGGATGTGGCCGAGACCAATGTCTTCTTTTATCCTCGGCTCCTACCATTGGTGCGACTAAGGGCTGGGGTGTGAGACATTGCACTGAGAAAGGGGCATCATAGAAGGAGGAAGGGAAAGGTTAATATTATCTGTGGTTGACTCTAGTGAATTTGTTTCTAACCTACATTATCTGATATAATTTTCACACTGAAAGAGTTACTGATTTAGCTTTCTGAAATTTCACGTGTGTGTGGTGAGGGGCAAACTTGTCTTATGGCCCTTGGCAAATAACCTCTTGCCCCTTCCTTTTGTCTAGACAAAGTCTCCCATTGAGAGTGCCACTGAACCACCAGCAGTTCGAGCATCTGAAGAGCGTCTGAGCAATGGGGATATATACTTGCTGGAGAATGGGCTCAACCTCTTCCTGTGGGTGGGAGCAAGTGTCCAACAGGGTGTTGTCCAGAGCCTCTTCAGTGTCTCCTCCTTCAGTCAGATCACCAGTGGCTTGGTGAGGGCAGGAAGTCAAGGGGAATATGGGTGTGGAAAAGCATTTTGTGATATGAGTGGGAGTCAGTAAAGTTTGTATGCTAGTCCCCTTTAATAGCAGGGAATCCTTGGAGGGGATGGGGGATGCTGTCATTATTCCGAGGCTTGTTTCAGATAATGAATAATTCTTTGCTGCCCCATTTTGCCTTGACTCAGAGAATTTTACCATAAGGATAAATGAATTTTGTGTTGCAGAGTGTTCTGCCAGTTCTGGATAATCCACTGTCCAAGAAGGTGCGAGGCCTCATTGATAGCTTAAGGGCACAGAGGTCACGGTACATGAAGGTAACACTGATCTAAACTCTGCATTTCTTACCTTGTTAAGTCCTCCCCTGGAATGGGGGGTGGGAGTAAGTGATTGGATAATGGGATTTTAGGGCATGTTTAATTCCTTTTGGCCCTGCCTCATGACCCTGTCTTCTGGCCATAGCTTATCGTGGTGAAACAGGAGGACAAGCTGGAGATGCTGTTCAAGCACTTCCTGGTGGAAGACAAGAGCTTGAGCGGTGGAGCATCCTATGTGGACTTTCTCTGTCATATGCACAAGGAAATTCGGCAGCTACTGAGCTAGAGCAAGTGGGTAAATGGCATAGGGTCCCAGGCCAGCTTCCAGAAAGTACACCAGGATGGCAGAGAAATTGGAACAGTTCCATTATCTTATAAGTCATGTAAGCTGACCTCAATCTCTCTGGGGGGAGGGGGAGGTATAAGGAGACACCTTTCTGGAATCAAGTATCCTACCACTCTGTCATGTCCTGCTGATGGAAGGTGCCCCTATCCCCTCACTTTACCCTCCTTTTCCTGCTAATCCTGTCGTAATGAATGTAGTTTCTCAGTTCACTGTATATGATTCGGTATTGGGGGATTTGGAGGCAACCAGACTCTGGCAATATTATGTGTCCCCTTAGACCAGCCTCCAAGAAGAGAGGGGCAGGCAGGAAGGAGTGGGAATCCCAGGGGTACTATACGGGGGTGGGTAGGGGCTAATTCAGCTCAGTGTCATCAAAAACTTCCTATATTAGGGACGAAACATTCAGGTGCACAAGAGCTGGGGTATAGACCATAGATGGTGGAGAGAAAAGTGGTTGGTCAGCCCTTTTTGGGCCTGGAAGTCAGCAGCCAAGTCAAAGTTGGAGAGTGGTTGATTAGCTCTTCTGTCTCCTGCAATGATTGGTGATCACTAAGTGGATAGAGGCACATTGTCAGAGATGAATGAGCCTGGGAAGTGAGTTGCAAAGAATATTAAGACCTGGGAGAGGTAACAGCCTCTTTCCCAGCTGGAGAGGCTCCAACACTGGATGGTTCTGTTGGGAGCCTGGTCATCAATTTGCAATACCTCACAGAGCCAGCCCCATCCCACTCTGAGCTCCCACTGGAAACACTGCTTTTCTAAGCTGGGAGTTGTTGAGAGGGGAGAGGCAGAGGTGGATGGAGCTCTGTTCTCTCCTGCCGGGACACCACTCAAGCTCTGGTATTGACAGAGTGGCCGACCGTTATCTTCCAACCTGAACTGGCTGGGGCAGGACAAGGGCTAGGCTTGATGGTGGCCAGGCTTGCCTGCTCCCAGCCTGGGATGCCCCTGCTCCGGACCTCTCATTTCTCTTCATTGGTTTATTTTTCAATGCATCTTTAATTTGTAAAGAAATAAAATAAATTAAGATGTAACAATTAGCCTCATTTTTACTTGTGACTTACCATTTTCCGTCCCATTTGTTGCTGCTAGGCCTAGCACTTCCCAGGAAGTGGTAGGCTGAGCAGAACTACGCATGCGCCACACGCACCATGGGCGTAGGACTTCGTCAGGTCGCTACTCCCTGCGGGGCGGAGGCCTGATGCTGCCGGGAGGGGAGCGGGGCAACTGCCAGTGGACATGGCGGCGTGCAGCAGCGGGGCTGTGCTCGCTGCCCTGGGAGTGCTTAGTATTTGTGCGGTCAGCGGCTCTGGGCCCATGGCTCAGGGGGAGACCGGCGGAGAGGCGGGCTGGGCAGAGCCGTGGGATGGTGCAGTTTTCCGGCCGCCCTCGGCGCTGGGCGCGGTGGGGGTGGCGCGCAGTCCCGGGCCCTCGCAGCCAGGGAGGGAGGAGGCCGTGGACTTGCCGGTGCTGCTGTGGTGGAGCCCAGGGCTATTTCCCCACTTCCCGGGCGACTCAGAGCGCATCGAGTGCGCGCGCGGCGCGTGCGTGGCATCCCGGGACCGACGGGTGCGAGGGCACTCGCGGACGCGCGCGCTGCTCTTCTACGGCACTGACTTTCGAGCCTCCGAGGCGCCGCTGCCGCGCCTGGCGCATCAGAATTGGGCGCTCCTGCACGAGGAGTCGCCCCTCAACAACTTCCTGCTGAGCCACGGGCCGGGCATCCGCCTCTTCAATCTTACTGCCACGTTCAGCCGCTATTCTGACTACCCGTTGCCGCTTCAGTGGCTGCCCGGGACCGCTTATCTGCGCCGCGCGGCGCCTCCGCTACAGGAGCGCGCTGAGTGGCGCCGACGCGGCTACGCGCCGCTGCTCTATCTGCAGTCCCACTGCGACGTGCCTGCGGACCGGGACCGCTACGTGCGCGAGCTGATGCGTTACATCCCGGTGGGTGGGGCCGGGGCGGGCCTGGGGGTTGAGGGGGGCGCGCGTGGCGGAGGCCAGGACCCCGGGTGTCCAGGTCGGCTCGCCGCACCCACTTCACGGCGGTATTCTACCCCGAACAGGTGGACTCCTACGGGAAATGCCTACAAAATCGGGAGCTGCCCACTCCGCGGTTACAGGACACAGCCACAGCCACCACCGAGGATCCAGAGCTCTTGGCCTTCTTGTCTCGCTATAAGTTCCACTTGGCCCTTGAAAATGCCATCTGTGACGACTACATGACAGAGAAGCTGTGGCGCCCCATGCATCTTGGTGCTGTGCCTGTGTATCGCGGCTCTCCCTCTGTGAGGGACTGGATGCCCAACAATCACTCCATCATCCTCATTGATGACTTTGAGTCACCTCAAAAGCTGGCAGAATTTATTGATTTTCTGGACAAGAACGATGAGGAATATATGAAATATCTGGCATACAAACAACCTGGGGGCATCACCAACCAGTTCCTTCTGGATAGTCTCAAGTATCGGGAGTGGGGAGTGAATGATCCTTTGCTGCCTAACTACCTCAATGGCTTTGAGTGTTTTGTCTGTGACCATGAACTGGCTCGGCTGGAGGCCGAGAAAGCACACGCAGCCTCTCCTGGGGACATCCCTGTCCCTGAGCCTCACATTGCCCAGCCCTCACACATGGACTGCCCAGTGCCCACACCTGGATTTGGCAGTGTGGAAGAGATTCCTGAGAATGACAGGTAAGGATAGCTGGGGTCCCTGTGGCCATCAAATCAAGCGATTTACTTACTTGCTCACTGTGGGCAGTGAACTAGCAGTAGGTGCTGAGGGGATTGTTGTATAGGGAAATTATAACATGGGCTTACTCTGCCTTTAAAGTGTCAAGAGTCTAACTGGGAGAGTCTAATTCCTGAAAAAGCTCAGGAAAAGATGCAAAGTGGAATTCAGGGCAACAACCTATGAAAATCAGTTTATGTGAGCAATGTTTGCAATAGTGATTCAAAAAAGGCTTCGACCAGAGCAGAGGGGGCCTGTTTAGGGAAGTGATGAGGGAGAGACAAAGTTGGGCAGATAAACTCGGGCCAGGCTATACATAGCCTGAATACCAGGCTTAGGAGTTGGACTGTCTCGAAAACCAACTCAGCTGTTTATTTAGCATCTTTGAAATGTTGGGGTTGGGGATGAGCAATACATAGATGGGTGTTTTGAGAGAGGTTTGTCTGCAGTAGGGTTTGTATCTATTAACCTGGCACAATTATTAATAGTACCTCCTTTCACTCTTTACTTTTTTTTTTTTTAATGTTTATTTATTCTTGAGGGAGAGAGACACAGAGTGTGAATGAGGGAGGTCCAGAGAAAGGATCCAAAGCAGGCTCCAGGCTCTGAGCTGTCAGCACGAGTCCGATGCAGGGCTTGAACTCATGAGCCATGAGCCGTGAGATCATGACCTGAGCTGAAGTCAGACGCTTAACTGACTGAGTCATCCAGGCGCCCCATATAGTACCTCCTTTCACTCTTAGAAGTACCCTGATTTGGGTGATAAATTATATGTTCACCCCAAACAAAATGGAAGGAATGTTTTCAATAGATAGAATAAACACTGCTGGGCAGTGTGGATTGGAAGAGAAGTGAGGAAGCTACTGCAGTAGGTGGCAGAAAGTGGTGCATTGGGAAACAAGGTCAGCACGGGAGGTGGGGTGGGAAAATGCTGAAGCCACTTGCAGCAAACCACACCTGTTTCGGGAGAGGTGATAAAAGATTACTAAGCTTAATAAAGCAAGACTGCTAGAATGGCCTGCAGAGACTAACTCTTGCACAGTGGATGGCAGCAGAGGGCTGTTTATATATACTGCTGGCACAGTTTGATTCTGGGAATGGAGTCTTCCATCAAATAATTTGTTTCTAGTTTATGCTGAACATATTATGATTTACTAGGAAAAAAAGTGTAAAACGTTAAAAAAAGAAAATGTGTTTTATTTAGACTTTGCATAGCACTGCACCTTCATTTTGATTATTGAAATTGCAGCTTATAAGGTAACCATCTAAATATTAGACTACTTGGTTCCATAGTCTGCCTCACTGCCCTGCCTTCTTCTAAACTCCCACCACATTTGGGAACCAGGAGCGGGCAAGTCAGGAAGTTTAACTCATTGGGGGTGGGATGTGTGATAGATTTGTGTTTGCAGCTGTCACCTGTAGTATTACTAGACTACTAGATTTACTTCACATTCCCTTTCCTTCAAAGCAGAGCCCTGTCTTAGCCAGAGACTGCTATATCTGCTTAAAATTTCAGAAGGCAGGACTTGTAGCTGTGCAGAGGTTCCATAATCCAACTCCCATTTCGATGTTTCAGCTGGAAGGAGATGTGGCTGCAAGATTATTGGCAAGGTCTGGACCAGGGGGAAGCTCTCACTGCCATGATCCACAACAATGAGACAAAGCAGAGGAAATTTTGGGACTACCTACATGAGATCTTCATGAAAAGGAACCAAAATCTCTAATTATCCTTGCAAGAGCCTTAAAATTGGTAGAGTTAAGGAGATGGAAGTCCTTATTCTACCATGGGACATGAGGGGCATCTGCTGCATATCCCTTAACGAACACTGTCTTATTATGAGTTCAAGGAATTCCAGTTATATCCACTGATATTTTATCCTAATGATGTGTATCCAGTGTCTCAGTTTGTGGTAGTAGGGCCTCTCCTCAATGAGAGATGGAGGCCTCTAGTTCTTGGATTAATGGAAAACAGAAGCCTGAAACACCCACTTGTTTTAAAGTGCTGATTCAACAGAATCTTTAAAGAATTGCATCTTTCTCTAGCCATTTCATCCTCTTAACTGTGATTGGAACAACACCTTGGTACTTGGCTTAAGAATGAGGTAAAATGGACCACGTTTAGTAGGGTCTTAAAATTTCTGTGCTCTTCTTTAAACTCTTTATTATTCAGTACCTTTCCTTTATTTTTTTTACATTTAAAAAAAAATTTACTTTGAGAGACAAAGCACAAGTCAGGGAGGGGCAGAGAGAGAGAGAATCCTAAGCAGGCTCTGTATCATCAGTGCAGAGCCCAATGTAGGGCTCGAAGCCATGAACTGCAAGATCACCACCAGAGCCGAAGTCAGACACTCAACTGACTGAGCCACCCGGGCGCACCTATTCAATACCTTTCCTAATCTCTTTTCATCTCCTGCTTTATAAATGGTTACATTGGTGGTGAAGCAAAACTCCTGGTGGGTTGTGTTATGGTTCTTTGGAATTGTATTTTTTACATCATTTACTTGCTCTTGATGTCAAACTTTTTAACTTTTTTTTTTTTTCAGGCGCCTGGGTGGTTCAGGTCATGATCTTGTAGTTCATGAGTTTGAGCCCCATGTCGGGCTTTGTGCTGACAGCTTGGAGCCTGAAGCCTGTATCAGTTTCTGTGTCTTCCTTTCTCTCTGCCCCTCCCTACTAACACTCTGTCTCTCTGTTTCTCAAAAGGAAACATTAAAAAAATTGTTTTAATGGTTTTTTCTTTCCTGGTTTTCCGTAATCTGATGAAGATGCCACCATCCCCACATTCATTCTCCTCTACATTAAACTGGCTGTAGATTTTTGACAGCTTTGCTTACTGCTGGTTTGCTTCTTTTTTAGGGAATAGCTGTAATTCTTTCTCATCTCATGAACAGAAAGATCCGATAGTTAATATATATCATGTCAATTTAATGAATTGTCCTGCTCTATTTTAGGTTAGAGATAGAGACTATGGCTGGAAATGATGGCAGAAAAACAAATTTAATATTTAAATGATTTTTTTAATGTTTCTATTTATTTTTGAGACAGAGCATGAGCAGGGGAGGGGCAGAGAGAGAGGGAGACACAGAGTCCGAACCAGGCCCTAGGCTCTGAGCTGTCAGCACAGAGCCTGATGTAGAGCTCGAACTCACGAACTGTGAGATCGTGACCTGAGCTGAAGTCAGTCGCTTAACCGACTGAGCCACCCAGGCGCCCCTAAATGATTTTTAAATGTTAAAATAGACCAGGGTGAATCAAACTGCAGGTTTTTATAGGTCTTTGGTCTTTTCTGTCTGCCTAATGAACTCTTCTCTATATTTAAAAAAAAAATTTTTTTTAATGTTTATTCATTTTTGAGAGACAGAGACAGAGTGCAAGTGGGGGAGGGGCAGAGAGAGGGAGACACAGAATCCGAAGCGGGCTCCAGGCTCTGAGCTGTCAGCACAGAGCCCAATATGGGGCTCGAACCCACAGACCAAGAGATCATGACCTGAGCTGGAGTTGGCTGCTTAACTGACTGAGCCACCCAGGTGCCCCTATATTTTATTATTTTTAAATGCTACAAAAGTCCCATTTCCTCCAAAGAGTCATGAAAATTACATTGGAAAAAACAGCCCAGCAATACAGTTGTAATAATTACTTCATACTATGGAGCACTTTTCAGTTCATGCGGGATGAATATTCCAACTTGACTCATTCTATTACTGATATCCTTCTGTTCAACTTTATAGTACTTACTGAGACTACATTTTGATGGAACATACCTAAACTCAAGGGGCTGAGAGGTGAGGCAAGACTTATGTTGGTGGTGAAGCAAAACTCCTGGTGGGTTGTATTATGGTTCTTTGGAATTGTATTTTTTATAACATTTACTTGCCCTTGATGTCAAGGGGCTGAGAGGTGAGGCAAGAGTTAGCCACCACAAGTGGCTGGTTCAGTAAAAAGCTGTTAGGCAGATTTGGGGATATAGCCAAACTTTTATATTGCTGTGGCTTGAAAATAAAGCTTAAAGGGCAGGGAGACCATTAGCTTTTTCAGGGCCAGTGGAACAAGAAATACCTTGGACCTTCTAGCTACTCTGGTTGTAATGTGTAGTATTAATGAATTATCACTAAAGAAGTTCTACAGCTTATTAGTGTATCTATAAATTAATATGTATATGTACTTATATATATACACATACATACACTAATTTACAACCAGATGTGTGTGTGTGTGTGTGTGTGTGTGTGTTTATGTATGTAAGGTGCTTCAACAACTAGGGTCCCACACTTAATATTGTGACATCTAAGGATGTGGCCAAGGAGAGCTCTAATTTAGACTGGATTTCACGGTCATAATGGTTCTATTTTCATTTTATTTTTTAGTAAAAAATACCCTCACAACAGCATGGAAAGTTTGCTTAACCTGTTTGGGCTTTTGCAGAAAAGCACAAGAGGGGAAGATAGACCTTCAAATGTACTATTAAAATTGGGTATAATGTAGACCCACAAAAAGAAGTCAAATTCAGGACTCTGATTTCTTTTTTTTTTTTTTTTTTTTAATTTTTTTTTTCAACGTTTTTATTTATTTATGGGACAGAGAGAGACAGAGCATGAACGGGGGAGGGGCAGAGAGAGAGGGAGACACAGAATCGGAAACAGGCTCCAGGCTCCGAGCCATCAGCCCAGAGCCCGACGCGGGGCTCGAACTCACGGACCGCGAGATCGTGACCTGGCTGAAGTCGGAGGCTTAACCGACTGCGCCACCCAGGCGCCCCTCAGGACTCTGATTTCTAAACTTGAAATCTATTTTTTTTTGGAGTAGTTTGTTTTTTTTTAACGTTTATTCATTTTTAAGAGACAGAGTGTGAGTTGGGGAAGGGCAGAGAGAGAGAGGAAGACAGAATATGAAGCAGGCTCCAGGCTCTGAGGTGTCAGCACAGAGTCTGATGTGGGGCTCAAACCAATGAGTTGTGAGATCATGACCTGCACTGAAGTCGGGCACTCAACCGACTGAGCCACCCAGGTGCCCCTAAACTTCCAATCTACTTAAATGCAGGTGCTGATATATAGTGCAAAATACACATTACTCAAATGCAAACTAAGGTTAGGACTCAAGTTTATGTGCAATAAAAAGGGTAAGTGATGGTTATGCAAAATGTAGAATCATCCTTACCTCTCCTAATTACACCAGTTCAGATTGGCATTCCTTTCATGTACAAAGTGGGCACTTTTATGTACAAAATGGGCCAGTTGTTGAATGATTGTGAATGATTGTGGCTGGAGACTCAGGCCTGCTTTGTGGACAGGGCTTTTTAGACGTTCTCCTTTAATCCTATTACCATAAAAGTATTCGTAAAAGAGCAAGATAAGCCAGGTGCTACATTTCCACAAGAGCAAGCAGAACCAATATGAAGAGAAAGCAAACAATGTGAATTTTCTCTGGTTTGGGGCTCAGTTTGCTCTGTCAACAGCAGCAGGCTTGGGGTTATTGGTGGTAGAAGTGCTTGATTAGGAATCTGTTTTATTGGACTGGGGGTGGAGCATGGGGCTGATGCCTTTATTACTCCATGTGTTGCAATATCCTATAATCTCAGGTTTCATTTTGTATAATAAATGGCTTCTTTTTAAACAGTGTCTGTTGCTTGTTTATATTTCTGGGCTGAGTATGATACACTTGGAGACTTGGAAAAATATGTGAAACACTTGTTCACTTAACAAGTATTTATTATCACTATTCTAGGTACTAGGAATTCAGTAAGACAAGGTCCTGTCTCTCATGGCACTTACATTTTAAATGGGTGTCAGTGGTAAGTGAGGCCATAAACACACATTAAATGAACAAGTTAATTCAGACTGTGATATGTGCTATGAAGAAAATAAAACAGCTTGATGAGAGATATGGGAAGTCAGGGAAGGCCTCTCTGACAGGAACTGAGAACAGAAGAAAAAGAACCAGTCATGCAGAGATCAATGGGAAGATTAAACGTCTGTGATAAATGATTTTAGCACACTAAATTTTACACAACCAAATACATATTGCTCCTCCAAAGTAGTCATCTTATGAACTAAAAGCTTGCTCAAGTTATGCTTCCGTTACCAGAAACATTTCTTGAAGTTGTTATAAATGCTTTGAGAATCCTTGGCACATCTTTGAACTGAGCTGTTTGTTTCTTTTTGAATGTTTCATTTATTTTTGAGAGAGGGAGACAGAATTTGAAGCAGGCTCCAGCCCAATACGGGGCTGGAACCCACCAGCCATGAGATCATGACCTGAGATCATGAAGTCAGAGGGTTAACCAACTGGGCCACTCAGGTGCCCCTGAAGTGCCTTTTGTAAACACCTAAAAGTCACTTAGAGCCAAGTCTGATGAACCTAGGCATCACAACTGAAGAGCCAAGTCTAATAATAGGAATGATACCACCAAGTATCTTCACAGGATTGGAAAGAGTCTTAAATTAGACAATGAACGCCAAAGCGCTTAAACTTCACCCTACCCAGTGAGATCATTACAAAGAAGAAACGATATATAAGTGGTCGCTACTGTTTATATGAGCATAATTTTTCTTTATGGCTTCAGGGTGGTTTTAAAGGTAGTAAAATCCAACAGTCCTTGAAGACTTATTAAAAACATAAGAATAGTCTGTCCCAGCCTAACATCTTAAGGTCTCATATTTTGATTCGGTCCCATCCTCTGCCCTTGCTTTTGTCAATCACCCTCGAGTTCGGCCAGCTACCACGATAAATGAGTGTCCATTTATCGAGCCCTTTCTTGGATGTTTCCGGCCTAAGACCGCCCTCAGACTTCAGGGCCGGGAGCGGCCTAGGTCAGCACATGAGCCCCAAAGACTCTCCTCCTAACCTGCACACAGGTCTTGAACGACCGGTGCCCGAACCCAGCAGCAGGGTTACGAGGCGAAGAAAAGCAAGCACGCAGGCAGCCGAGCTTTCGGCAGGCTGCGCGCCAAGCCTCGTCGAGCTCTTAGGGGTCACGCAGGGTCACGCACGGTGACGCAGAGCCTGCCGGGAGCTCGG